TAAACTATACTTTGTTGTCTATCTACATCTATAGCTATCTGTCTTTTCTATCTTCTTTATTATCTGTATATTCATAATTTGGCAGGGTAATGTTATCATTCATGGATATTAATCTACCTCTCTATCATTACCTGTTACTAAGTATCTAGGCAGCTGCAGCACTGGGTTATATTTATCTATAAAACTATCACTAAAACTAACAGTAAACTATAAAACCTTGATAGAATAAAAAAACATTATTATTTTTTAAAAATCTTTGTTACATTCATCTAAAAACAATTTTAATCAGTGGGAAAATTGTGAGAAAAAAATATTGCTCATTGCAGTTTCTCTAAATAATTATATAAAATCAGAAAGAGACACTTACAATCTATATTTTGATTATGGACATCATATAAGAATTACTGAAGTTGCTATACATTTAAAACATATGAGAAATTAAAAACATATGAGTAGCTTTCATATATGAGAAATTAAAATATATGAGTAGCTTTCATATATGAGAAATTAAAATATATGAGTAGCTTTCAAATTGTTTTCCAGTAATGTAATACAAAATAAAATTAAATAAAAATAGATATACTATCATGATATAAGTGTGAATACATTTCTACAGTCAGAAATACATCCATATAGACTACAACAAATTGTGCTCCTGATGTAATAAAAATCTATATAAAAAACAATACACAATCTACAGCATAGGTTTGTGTTAACATTTTGTACGCGAAGAAGGCAAACTCATGGTCACTGCTCTGCAAAACTTTCATTTGTCTGTCTGGCTGTGTCAAAACACTTGCAAAAACAACTGGTCTTTGTAAAAAAAAGAAAAAAAACAGTCACACAAGATTCCATGAATGCAATTAGGCCAATCACTGTTGCTTTACTTGAGCATGGAATAAAATTTTGGTTTTCTCCATTACATTGGTGTCACTTAATTTGGATAAATCCCTTAATTCAAATATACATTATGCATAATCATTTGCTTCTGGAGCTCAGTTACAATCTAGGTAGTGAGAGAATTTGGTAGGAAGTTGGAGTTCTTGCCAGTGATAGAGCCACCTGTGTCGGGGAATTTTTCCAGGTCTTCCCGCACCACTACTCTGCCGTCATACTTGACGTCAAGTGGGTAGGACATCAAATGAGAATCATTGTGCTCTGCTTCTGGTGCTATGAACTTCTCTAGATTAGACTTTGCAAGTTCATTAATGGCTCTCATACAGTCAACTGAAGTTGGTGTAAGATGTTCCTCCATGTGAGCACCGCAGTGCTCAGCCCACAGGGATAAGCGGAAAGTTCTGACGTCACCCTCTATTTCACCGTCTCCACACTCTTCTTTGGTATACATTGGCTGATATGCTCCTAGAGCCATTTCAGAATCACGGTTGCCACTCATGCTCCTTTCATTGATGTTAGCCGAACCAACAATAATATATTCATCATCAAATATTGCCATTTTGGAGTGGACATAGATCATGAAACGGAGATTCTCACGTGCCTTTTCAGCTACAGTTCCAGAGTCTGGTTCATCCAAACCATCTGGGAGATCTTCTGGACATTCTCGCTTCCCTAGACAATAGAAGCTAAGGTAGTCAGTGGGATGGGCTTCTATTTTGGCCTTGCGAATGGCCTTAGCAATCTTTTTGTACATCATTTCCATTGTACGATGTTGCCAGTGAAGGATTTCTTGCACCGCTGTTGAGGTTGGGTCTCCCTCTGGGTGGATAGGAATCACCACATACACCCGGAAGTCCTCTCCTGCATTTATGGCATTTATTATTCTCGTTGTAAGCTCGATGGGGATAAGATGCGGGCACTTTGCTTCATGCACTAACCAGCTGTGTGCTGACCCGAGGAAATACTGATTTTCTATATAAATAAAGCGTTTAGCTCGTCGGATGTGATGTACATAAGCTCTCTGAATGGAGTTCTCATACAATCGGCCCTTCCTGGTAAGTAGTCTATCCAGGACATTCGAATCAAACTGTGCAGAGTCAGAGTTAATGGAACGGAAGAACTGCACATTCCATATTGTCTCATCTGGAGAATCCCACTCCAAGACAAAGTCATCTTCAGTGACTGGAAGAAGACGGTTTTCCCTATCTGGAGCCTGACGACGCCACCTCTCTACAAAGTTTTGCAAAAGGTCATTAGCTGCCCGTCCTTCTACATACATATGGATATCATGCCAAGGCTCACGTGGGCCTTGAGTAACTGAGGACTGACAGATGCCATTGTAGAAATCATATTGGTGTTGTTCTGGCAGTGTTTTATACAGAGGGTGGTCAGGCGTGTCATAGCGTCCATCTGTCAAGTCAATGCCTCCAGCAAATGCCACCAGACGTCGCCTGTCATCACCTTCTGCTTCGGCATCAACTATAACACACTTCTGGTGGTGGGTGTACAGGGTTGCCACAAAATTATTTTCCATGAGCTTACCCTTGTTCTTCTGACGTGGTGCCAGGAAAACTTCGACCTCTGACCCCTCGAAGAAAAGCCTTGTCTCCTCATCATGAGTGCCCATGATCCCTGGGGTGTAGATATCCGTGCTCATGGCCTCATTCCAGACCATGACCATGACCCTGACCCCTTCGTTTGCCTTCCTCTTTAGCACGTCACCCAGATTCTCGCATTCGCCATCGCGTAAGAGACTCATGTCTGCCTTCACGCTCCATCCGATGATATAAATCAGCTTTTGTGCATTTTCGATGGCGTTGGTGATGTCCACCCACAGTTGTGGTGGTTCGTATGCGTCTCCTGTTCGTGTTGGGACGTCCGTGACCGGTGGCTCAGCGGGCGTGTGGGCGTCCTGGTAGAGCTTCACACGGCAGCCAGTCCGCATGGGAAACACTGTGTCTGGAACCTCATTGGACCGCGTTATCTGAGCCGTGGTCAAAAAACGCAGTGACACATTGAGGGAACCGGCTGGGTTTCCGCTCTTGTCTATGATCGGGAACCAGCCAGTCACAGGCTCGTCGCTAAGGAGGTCCTCCGCTCTGATGCTCATGAATCCCATCGACTCCATCTTGACTAAGTCGAGGTCCTTGACGGTGAAGAGGAGGGACTCCGTTTCGTGGCACATCTCGATGCGGAACTTCTCGCCCCAGTGAGGGTTCAGGGAATTGTAGATGATGGACGTCTTGGCGATGCGGCACGTCTTCCGGCCCGCGCAGCACGTGTCCACGGTCACGTACGGATCCGAGACATCCTTCGAGGACCGGAACCAGGAGGTGTCGACGTCAGGGAGGTCCCGCCCCTCGATGACCTCAAGGTATAGGACGCCGTGAAGGAAGACCATTTTGCCACGCTCTGCGAAGGCGCCGCTCCGACTGAAACCTGCCGAGGGGAAAGAAATTAGAAAGAGCGAAGGGGAAATCATGATTAAAATGATCGATGTTTAATCCTGCTCTAACTCACGAAGAACTTTACAAGACTGCAGTGTTAATATATACTGAAATATCAAGTTTTCTGATTATGAATAGTGAAAGAGAAGAACAAAAGAATAAAATAAAATAACTGGAAAGAGCTTACAATGAACATTAACAATGATAAATAGTTTCTCTCTTAAATGAAATACAAAATGTTATTTTTTCGAAAATACAAGTTCGAATAAGGAAAAGCTATTTTGTAAGTCTAAATACCATATGTAAACCATTGGCTTAAGCACTGTCAGGCCATGCAAAAGTGCACTGCAGTTGCTGCTGTTTATCTAATATATACATATTTTTCTTTGTCATTACATTATCCCTTTTTATCTTGGAATAAAACATTTAAACTTTATACAAAGAGACAGATCAATTCAGCAATATTGTTTTGGACAGAGAAAAATCTTCAAGTGAAAAAATTAATATATATATATATATATATATATATATATATATATATATATATATATATATATATATATATATATAAAGAGAGATAAAGATATAGATAAATATGCATCTATGTAGCTATTTGTTCATCCGTTCTCTATCAACATACAGAGGTCCTCACAACAGAGAATGAAAGGTGTTCAAAATAAAGCAAAATATAAATGTATTCATTTTTTTAAAGTATGGCTTTAAAAGGCAAGGATTTTACAATTACATATTTTCTTCATCAGCGATAAGAGAAAATTAATTCAGTGCGATGATGTTAAATGAAGAAATTAAAATGAGTTGGACATTGAAGATTTTTCCTAAATGTTATTCCGCTCAAAACATACTTAAAACTAAACCAAAAAAAGGTAAATAGTTAAAATAAAATCTAATAAAGAAGACCAAAGAATAATACCAAATAAATGCTGTTGTTTTTTTTTTCTAGAAATCATTAATTGAAAATTCGATTTTCTGTCCACAATTTTCTAATAAATTATTATAAATTGGTTAATAAAGATAAGTATTGTTTATAAAAGATAAAATTTTGTTAGTAGAAGCAGCAATGGCTTAAGTATTAGTTGTAATATTTGAGGTTGTAGTAATATCAGAACAATTGTAATAATTGTAATAATGATGATGGTGATGATAATGGTGATAATGGAGATATAGATAAAGACAGAGATGGTGATGATGATGGTAATGGTGGTGATGATGGAGATAGAGATAGAGATGATGATGATGATACTGATAATTATGACGGTGGTGATGATGGAGATAAAGATAGAGATGATGATGGTGATGATAACGATGATGATGATGATGATTGTGGTGATGATGGTGGAGATAAAGACTGAGATAGAGATGATGATGATGATGATGATGATGATGATGATGATGATGATGATGATGATGATGATGATGATGATGATGATGATCATCATCATCATCATCATCATCATCATAATGATAATGATACTGATATTGATGATGATAATGACGACGATGATAATGGCAATGATAATGACGATGATACCATTACAAACATAAAAAAAAAAGTTCACAGCACCCAGCAATAACAAAAGCCAGAGAAAGAAAATCGATATGTTGGAAATTCAATGAAAGGAGATGAGAGAGAGCCGA